AATAAAATACCTAGGAATACAACTAACAAAGGATGTAAAAGACTTCTTCAAGGAGAACTACAAACCACTGCTCAAGGAAATAAGAGAGCAGACAAACAGATGGAGAAATAGTCCATGCTCACGGTTAGAAAGAATCAATATCGTGAAATTGGCCATACTGTCCAAAGTAATTTATAGTTTCAACGCTATCCCCATCAAGCTACCAATGACCTTCTTCACAGCACTGGAAAAAGACTACCTTAAACTTCATATGGAACCAAAAGAGAGCCCGCGTAGCGTAGCCAAGACAATCTTAAGCAAAAAGAACAAAGCCGGAGGCATCAGTTGATTTTCAACTATACTAAAAAGCTACAGTAATCAAAATACCATGGTACTGCTACCAAAACAGAGATAACAGACCAACAGAACACAACAGAGCTCCTGGAGACAATGCCACACATCTACAACCACCTGATCTTTGACAGACCTGACAAAAACAAGCAATGGGAAAAGGATTCCCTGTTTAATAAATGGTGTTGGGGAAACTGGCTAGTCATATGCAAAAAGCAGAAACTGGACCCCTTCCTGACACCTTACACTAAAATTAATTCCAGATGGATTAAAGACTTAAACATAAGACCTAACACTGTAAACCCCCAGAAGAAAACCTAGGCAAAACCATTCAGGACATAGGCATAGGCAAGGACTTCATGACTAAAACACCACAATCATTGGCAAAAAAAGCCAAAATAGACAAATGGGATCTAATTAAACACCAGAGCTTCTGTACAGCAAAAGAAACAATCATTAGAGTGAACCAGCAACCAACAGAATGTGAAAAAATGTTTGCAATCTACCCATCTGACAAAGGACTATATCCAGGATCTACAAAGAACTAAAACAGATTTACAAGAACAAAACAATCAAACCCATATAAAAGTGGGCAAAGGATATGAACAGACACTTTTCAAAAGAAGAAATATATGAGGCCAACAAACATATGAAAAAATGCTCATCATGACTGATTATTAGAGAAATGCAAATCAAAACCACATTGAGATACCACCTCATGCCAGTTAGAATGGTGATCATTAAAAAATCTGGAGGCAACAGATGCTGGAAAGGATGTGGAATAATAAGAACACTTTTATACTGTTGGTGGGAGTGTAAACTAATTCAACCATTGTGGAAGACATTGTGGCACTTTCTCAAGGACCTAGAAATAAAAATTCCATTTGACCCAGCAAATGGGATATATCTAGTGTATATACCTTTGGGTATATACCCAGTAATGGGATTGAGGGGAACAAGGGAGGGACAGCGGTGGGTGGGGAGGTCAGGGAGGGTTAACATGGGGAGAAATGCCAGGTGACAGGGGATGGAGGCAGCAAACCACATTGCCATGTGTGTACCTGTGCAACCATCCTGCATGATCTGCACATGTACCCCAGAACCTAAGGTGCAATAAAAATTTTTTTTGTTTAAAAAAAAAAAAGAACTGCCTGATACTGGGTAATTTAGGAAGGAAAAAGGTTTAATTAGCTCCCAAATTTGCCTGGCTGGGGAGGCCTTAGTAAACTTAGAAACATGATGGAAGGAGAAGAAAACACATGGTGGCAGGAAGGAGAAATGCTGAGCAAAGAGGAAAAAGCCCACTTTAAAACCATTAGATCTGATGATAACTCACTCCCTATCATGAGAATAGAAGCATGGGAGTAACAACCACAGTTACTCAATTACCTCCCACTGGGCTCCTCCCATGAAATCCATTTGTTGATCTCCTAGGAAAGGCATAGTTTTTTGTCTAGTTACTGTCAAGATATATATATATTTTTTCTTTAAGTAGAGTTATTTTAATGTCTATTGGTATAAATCACAATGTGTTTATTCTCTTTGGAGTTCACTCAGCTTCTTAAATATGTAACTTTATGCCTATGGCCAAAGTGGGAGGTTTTCAGTCATTATTTTATTTATTTATTTTTCCAGCCAATTACCCTTTCCCTTCTCTTTCTGGATCAGCATTATTTATTGTTGTTGTATTTTTCTAAATGTCTCAGTTGAGATTTCTTTTTCAGTCTATATTAAGAGAGGTAATTTATATTGCTCTATATTCAAGTTCATGGATTTGTCATCTCCCAATGTGTTATTAGGCCTATTCAGTGTTTTAAAAAATTTTTGTCACGCTTTTCCATTTTATGATTTCTTCCGCGGTTTTTTTATTATGCTTTAAATTCTGGGGTACATGTGCAGGTCATGCAGGTTTTAAAAACCATCATGAATTTCAAAATCTCTGCCCTCTTAGTGTCACTCCAAATAATGTTTTTTTTT